TTCCACAGGAGATGGGGTATAAACATGGGGAACATCCACTTTACAGACGAGACAGGACAGAACAAAACCGGGTAGTACTTATACCAAAACTAAACGGGGGAACTAATGAGATAATAGAAAAACACCAGGTGAACTAAATTACTAATTAGACACACTGGGAAAACTGGATCACAGGGAAAAAGCTAAATGAAACTAACTAACAACATTAAATTGATCAAAAGTAACATGACAGTCATTCATAGTGATATAAAAGATTTCTATTTCAAATAAATGCTGTTCTTTTAAAGTTCTGTTCAGTCAGTCTTTGTACGATCTCCGTTATATAGGCTAGTTCTGTTTTCCTGTATTTAATTATCATTAAACCTTCGTGTTGGAAATATATCCTTGTCTCCGTCTGCCTTCCTGCAACAACCCGTGACACACGGTTTCCACAAAAAAAATAAAAAATAGCAACAGAACTGTTTTCACCATCGATAAAGTTAATAAATGTTTCCTGAGCACCAAATCAGTATATTAGAATGATTCCTGACTCTGAGGACTGGAGTAATGCTTTAGAAAAATTGTCTTTGCCATCACAGGAATAAACTGCATTTTTCAATATATTAAAATAGAAAACAGTTTTAAATTGTATTAATATTTTACAATATTGCTGTTTTTACTGTATTTTTGTCAAATAAATGCAGCCTGAATACGCATAAGAGACTTACAGTTGTGGTCCTGGTAAATATGATCAAAGATGGCTATAAAAAAATAAATCGCCATTGTTTATCCTTATGATCTTTCATTTTAAAAAATCCCAAAATCTAACCTTTCATTGAAGTAATAGAATTGAAAGTGGGAGAGAAATCACATAATGAAATAAATGTTTTTCTCCAAAAGTCATTGGCCACATTTATTGGCACCCCTAGAATTTTTTATAGTAAAATATCTCTGAAGTATATCCCCATTAATATAAAAATGTTTTAGCACACCAGGGTGACTAGGAACATGAAATTTTCTAGCTATGACTTCCTGTTCCACAGTAGTATAAATATGAGGAAACACAAAGGCCAAATTCCCTTAATCATCCATCATCACAATAGAAAAACCAAAGAATATAGTTCCGATGTGCAGCAAAGGTTTGTTAAGCTTCACACAATAGAAAGTGGCTGTAGGAAAACATCACCACATGTTGTTTGGGAGTGTTTCAAGAAAAATCCTCCTGAGTCCTCGCTCATCCAAAAACAAACTCCAGCATATTCAGTTGTCAGAAACGACTGGAACTTTAAAAGGGACCGGATTCTGTGGTCAGATGAAACTAAAAAAAGAGCTTTTTGGCAGCAAACTCACCAGATGGGTTTAGTCGTGCAAACATGGATAAAAAGTACCCCATGCCCACGGTTAAATATACCGTTGGATCTTTAATGTTGTGGGCCTATTTTTTAGCTGGAGGTCCTGGACATCTTGTTCAGATACATGGTCATGGATTCTATCAAGTACCAACAGATAAAAAATCAAAACCTCACGGCGGCCTCTGCTAGAAATCTTATAATGGGCAATGGTTGGATCTTCCATCATCTTTCAATCATTTACCAGGGGTGCCAATAATTCTGACCACAACTGTAGATAGACTAAAGCCCTATTCGGGCGGTTATTGTTTCTCATGGGGACGTAAGGTATTTTCAACTTTTACAGGGGCTGACAGTGTCAGGGGCAGTTCAAATGTCAATGTTTTTCTCCCACCATCCGCAAAAAAAAATCCCCGGCCGAATTACCTACAGTTTTTTTGACAAACACCAAGGTAGTGTGGTCATTTAATTGCCATCCGAATCCACATCTCTGAGTTTCCAAGAAGAGATCACTTCAATTCACTATTTAAATCCTTTTTGACCACTGCGGTGTACCCGTATGATAACTGTTGCGCTTCACTGTAATTTACATGCATTTTAAAGATGTACAGTTTTATTACTGAAATGCTGGAAAGTTTTTAAAAGAACAATATTTCGTCACTGCTCCACTTCAGTGAGTGGGAGCTGTTAAGAATAAAAAGGAGAAAGAGAAAAAAGCACTTAAACATTTGAAATGGCCGTTATTGTGGCAGCAATATATGCAATACAATTTTAAAATATGTATTAATTATATACATTAAAAATATAAACCAAGCAGCTTTATGTTTACGTAATGTAAGAGGCTACATTAACTTATTTCCGCTAATTTCCATATTTTTATTTTGACCCATCATTCTGAGATAAAATGCAAGACAGAAAATGTTTTAATATATTTCATATATAGTGTCTAGCTTTCTATTTTTAAAGAGGATATTTAAATAATTAAATAATAAATAGGACATTATTTTCCTATTATTAGATTAAATATGAATTTGTTCTTATCATTCCAAGCATATGACATATTTACAGAGCATATTTTATTCACAGCAGCCTGGCCGCGTTCGCGGGTTCGAAGGATCACAGAACTCGCTCCTCCACTGTGGATAAATCGCCATCCGAATACCTTGCAAATGTATTTTGACAGATGTCCACATGAGAGACAATTACCATCTGAATAGGGATTTCGTTCATACAGCACATATCAGTTGAACTCATTCTCAAAATTCCCTTAAAAAGTTAAGAGTCACTTCAGTTATAAAATCAAAATGTGGGTTTCAATGAGCCGTGTATGAACAAAAGCAAATGTATCCCTTTTACGAATGCTACTCTTTACTTTACTTTACTTTACTTTACTTTATACTTTATTGTCAGACGAGTCTGACATTTTTCTTGCATAACAGTGTATGTTTACAACATCTAACATACATTCTACATTGACATCCACTTACACATCACATATTATACCTTCAAAATAATACAACATACATACAACGTACATCTAACATACATTCTACTTTGACATACACTTACACATCACATATTATATCTTCAAAACAATACAACACTTATACATCTAACACCTTCACAGTACTCTTGATCTCTGATTGAATGTTTTGTTCAATGCTAGGATAGCCTGGTACACAAAAGAGTGTTTCAGCCTCACTTTATTAAATCTGGGCACTCTATACCTCCTCTTTGATGGTAAAAGTTCAAACTCTTTATGCAGAATATGCATAGGGTTAGAAGTTATAATACTGGCTAGCCTTAGCAAGTTGTTATGATAGGCTGAGTCGTAGAGCTTCTCAAGGGGCTGACCTACAATCTTTGAGCAAATTTTTAATTGATTATGCAGCTTTGTTTTCAGCATAACAGACAAGCTTTTATACCAAATAGAGTTGCAATATTGCAGTATGCTCATTATCACAGACCTATAGAACAATAGAAGAATCTGTTTTCTTACTCCAAATGATCTAAGACGACGAAGAAAATAGATTCTCTGCTTTGTTTTTTTACATAATGTGTCAATGTGATCTTTCCATGACAGCATATCGTCTATAATCACTCCTAAATATTTATATGTCTTAACCGATCTAATTTCCTCCTTATGAATAAAAACAGGCATTATATCGGCCACAGACCCAAATACAATCTCCTCAGTTTTACTGGTATTAATGACAAGAGCATTATTCTCACACCACTCAATCAGTTTAGTCACACCTTGTTGATGAAACTCAGAACTATCTGAATCATTTATCACAGATATTAAAACAGTGTCATCAGAGTATTTCAAAATATACTGATTTGACATATCAGTTCGACAGTCATCTGTATATAAGGTGAAAAGTACGGCAGAACTAACGCAACCTTGTGGGACTCCGACATTTGTAATGATTGCAGACGACACAGATTCATTCACTTTGACTCTCTGAACTCTATCAGTGAGAAATGAAGTATACCACTGGACCAGATAGGGATTAACGTTCAACCGTGCAAGTTTTGACACCAGTCTGTCAACCTGTAATGTGTTGAATGCAGAAGAGAAATCTAAAAACAAAGTTCTTACAATTGTTTTAGGTTTATCTACATGTTTAGAGATGATGTGTACTAAAGCAGCAACTGCATCTTCAGTACTACAGCCTTTCTTATAGGCAAACTGCCAAGGATCTAATTTATCTTTAACTGTCCTAACTAAATGCTGGAGTAACAATCTCTGTAAACATTTCACAATCACAGAGGTGAGAGCTATTGGTCTAAAATCTTTATGTTCTCTTGGACATGGTATTTTCGGTAATGGTTTAATGTATGCGGTCTTCCAAATCACAGGAACAGTGTGTGTGTCAACGGATGCTTGAAATACTGGATGCCACACCGGTGCTAATTCATGTGCAAATTTTTTTAGAAGACCTGCACTACATCCGTCTGGACCAACCGCCTTTTTTGTGTCAATAGACTGGAACGTTTTCCTAACATCCTCAACCTCAATAACAATTCTATCCAATGATGATGGAACAGTATCTATTGTTTCTTTGATCTTATTGTGTTTGTCAATTTGTTCAAATCTGGTAAAAAAGATGTTTAATTCATTCCCGAAACAAAATTCATCATCAACTACAATAGATTTTCTTGAAGGAGACAATCCTGACATTGTTTTCATAATGTCCCTACTCTCACAAACAGAAAGAAATCTGTATTCAACTTCTTCTCTTTTGCTCATGTGAATTGGATTCTTAAAAATAAAACACACTGAAGTAAACAAATACACAGGGTGAAACTGATGTTGAATAAGGCTGTCACCTTCAAAGCTAAACTAAGACACAACTAGCTAAGAAAACTAGGTCTTTCCCAGAGCCATCTGTCTGTGCCTGCTGAACTTATTCATTTTCTTCTCAGGCATAATAACTGATACTGCTGTGAAAACATGTACCAGATACTTTATTCTTCCTAAGAAAGGCTGGTCCTCGACTCTTTTGTGGGAGTAAAACTTCAAGGTTTTCCCGCCAAGGCCATTTGTGACACAAAAGTAAAAAGGTTTTAACGCACAATGGCAAATAAATATAGATGGACTTTTGAATAAAGCAGAAATAGCATAAATTCTTTCTTATATGCATTATATAAAAAGACATGTCCTCTTACTTGATATGGGTTACAACTTGGTCAAGACGATAGAAAAGATCATGGAAAAGAATACAGCTGGACTTGCTGTTGATATCATGTCCATAGCTTCGCTTCCAGTACTGTTTCAGGTCACCAGCGTACTCCATCACCTTAAGAGACACAACACAGTGTCTTCAAACATCTGCAGGAGCATATGACCTCTCACCAGTGAGCAACAACATTCCCAAATACGTATATATGTTGTCATTAGACTGACATTCTGAATTGAAAATCCACATTGAAAAAAGTTGTATCTTAAAACATACACTACCGTTCAAGCTCAAGGTCAGTAAGATTCTTAAAATGTGTTTGAAAAGGCTCTTATGTTCACCAAGGGTACATTTACTTTTTTTTAAAAGAAATGAATACTTTTAATCAGCAAGGGCACATTAAATTGATCAAAAGTGACATGCAAGTAATTTATAATGTTACAAAAGATTTCTATTATAAAATATAATTATTATTCTCTGTTCATCAAAGAATCCTCACGGTGTCACGGTTTCCACAAACAATTTGCAACAGAACTGTTTTTCAACATCGATAATAATAATAAATGTTTCTTGAGCAGCAAATGAGCATATTAGGAGAATTTCTGAAGGATTATTTGACACTGAAGACTTGAGAAAAAGCTGCTGAAAATTCAGTTTTGCCATGACAGGAATACATTTATTAGCTCAATTTTTTAGGAGTAGGATTTTTTGTAACAATGGAAAAAGCTTTATTGTCAATTTTGATAAATGTATGCATTCTTGCTGAATAAAAGTATTAATTATTATTTTTATTTTTTTTACCTTTTGAATAGTAGTATGTGTATGTGTATGTATATGTCGGTTTGTGTGTGTGTGTATATATATATATATATATATATACATATACAGTATATATATATACATATATATATATATCTTTTTATTTATTTTTTACTCATGCAGTTCCAAAGCAGTGTGCTATTACATTTTTGAGGAACACAAAGGTTGGAAGCACCATAAAAATGTAAGTAATCCAAGTTTCTGAAGCAAATAGCTCTGAATAAAAAAAGAAGTTGAAATTGTGAAATCATAACTTGCATTTCCACTTGTTCTTCACACAAACCTATTGTATAACTTCACATGATCAGCTATGATTAAAAAAAAGAGCAATCTCCTCCTACATAAATTATAAAAAATAACCACAGCTATCAGAATGTATTGACAGAACAGATTTTATTTGTTTCATTTTCCATCTGAGGAAGAAATACTCCTGGTATACTTAAAATATAGCCTAAGTAAATAAGGGTAAACAGGAAAAACTGCTCTGTTCCAGTACCTGTGCATCAACCTCGTCAAACAACTGGCACCAGGGTGAGTTCACTTTGAGGATAGTAAACTCGTATGAACACAGGAAGAATGCTGCTTGCATTGAATCTACAAACAAAAACAAATATTAAGACAATGTGTCATTTGCTAAAGCATTAGACGGTAGAACAAATAAGACTGTTATACTGTAAATAAGAATAAATTGTTCATATCTTTGTCAAATAAATTAATAAATAAATAAATAAACTCTGTAAAATCTTTGATAAAAGTATGTGCTGGTGTACAGGGCAATCTTATATGTTTGCACTTTCATCCTATTTTTGGGGCAAAGAAAAAAGGATCAACACTGCCATCTAACGGTCGTACTGAAGACTGCAGTGGCAACACTATTCGACATTCTTTCCCTCTCTCACTATCTCTCACTCTCTGTTTGTGCACTGATATACAACTGCTGACAGCAGCAGATCAATTGAGCAGCCCTGAACTCTAAACTCTCTGAGTAAGTTAAACTTGCTTCATCAACTTTTGGTGGTTTTCTTGCTTTTGTGATTCTCATTCCCAACTCTTCCCATCTTTCTTCTGTTCTCCAGAGAAAAAGCTGCAGCAAACGTGGCCTGTCATCTATAGAATTTAACTACACTATTTCATATGGACACTCAGTGCCTCAATCCATTTCACCAAAAGTTGTGACTGTATGCTGAAAATGCAAACTTTGCGTGCAGATATCTTTCTGTGGCTACATTTTACTATCTAATGATGGTACAGATTAGTGATGTAGTTGCAAACCTTGTACAATTTTGAACTTTGAAAGCCCAGCCCTCTCAATCAATTGGAGTTTTGGATTCCACAATTTTGTTTATTGATTTTTAACATTTATAAATCATCTCAAAAACTGAGGTCAGCCTGACATGCATTCGGGAAGGAAGCGTGTGCAATAATCTACTCATGTACAAAGTTTTGTGGTTATGGTTGCAAGAAGAGCATAACATTGAAAGGGAAGTGAATTTGACGCATGTGTTCTAAAATTAAACCAGCTCTTTCCATAAAACATAACATAAAAATGATCACAACATTACCACACTTTTAAACTGCACAATAGCATCGTGGATGTTGCTTTATTCCAGAACTTCAGCAGGGACTGTGTAACAGTGTCATGGTCATGTTATGCAATCACTGACCATCAGTGACGCTGGTGTAAGGGACCTTCAGCCTGTCAGCCATTTTCTCCATTACTCTTTTCATCTCAGGGCCTTCACTGAAACGTTTTACTTCCTCCAAGGCACTCTTGTTGTTCTCCACTTCTTTCACGAACCGTTCGCACTGGTCAAAGTAACGCATCAAAGCGTCATTCACAGCAGGTTCCAACTCAACTGAGCAATGAAACAAAACGAAACAATTTCGCAGAATTAACATTACGGGTTTATAACCATGGCACTTTGACTCATAAAACTGGAATTACAAAATGTTACTTTGTACACGTATTTAATCAGTGGGGGAAGCCAATCAAGAAAGGAATATAGATTAAGATTTCTAATAAAAATAGGTCAATCAAAAAAAATTGATTGTTCAAAATGGATTTTTATGTTTTTGTCTACCCATATACTGTAGCTAACAGGCGGTCTCTTTGTTTGTGTGTGAATTGTAAGCATAGCCTACTATATAGGCTTTCTACGTATACTGGTTATAAAGGCAACAGACACAACCAATAAGGCAGATTGCTGAAGGTCCACATGAGCATATTTAAGTTTTTATATACCCAAAAGTCAATTTAAATTTTCTTTGTGGCTCCTTAAGATTTTTTTTTTTTTTTTTTTTTTTATAAATGATTTGTGTATTCAACATTTTGGCATCCATATGATGACTTTTGATGTGCCATACATAAACCATGGCATAATACACATAGTACTAAAGAGACAAATTTAGGTGATTGAACAGTAATGATATCAGCGAATTTTGATATATGATATTGATATATCAGTCAGGATAAAAAATTCTGAGGAAAAGACTAAAGCAAGTCTCAATTTGTTCTTTACTGAATCTCATTGCTGTCAAGGAAAAACAGCTAATAAAGATAATAAAGAGATCTATTTTGGTTCTTTATATGAGCATGCAGAAATGCAACAGAGTTGAATTGTTTGGTTAATTACACCAGAATAGAGCAAATTTCCATTTTCTCTCCACTGAATCTCACTGCTGTTGAGGTGAAACAAATGAGCACTATCATGTGTGAAGAGCCAGATGAACATAATGTTCATGCTGGAAAACAATGATATGGTATTATGGCATGCAGATGATTCAGTGCTTGCGGTAATTGCAGGGCTGGGTCCTCATGCATTACCTTCTTCTTCCATGCTGAGTCCTGTCATTAGTCCCTCTCTGAAAGCGATGGTACTGTTCACACACCTGTGCTTGGAGCTGGTGATCAGTTTCACGCGTCCTTGACGCACATTGTCCTCGGTCAGCAAAGAGGGGAACCATCTAATGAGTCTCTGCGCCAGGTGCCTGTGATCCTCACGGCCCTTGTTCACCAGTCGCCCGTCCATCTCATCCTTGTACCACATCTCCCACCGTGACTTTATCTCTGACAAACAGCTTAAGTTGTCGGTCGCATTACGCACGACGAGGTCATAAAAATCGCGCATCTTTTCGATGTTTTTAGCGGTCGGGAACCTCGTCCCGTGCCGGATTATAGCTGTCAAATGAATTTCGCGGCATGTCGAGGAAGGCAGCGTCACGAGGGAGTTGTTTATGGCCAAAATATCGTCTATTAAGTACGTGTTAACCTCCTCATAGCGACCTTTGGTGCCAAAATACCTGGCGATCTCTGGTATGCTGGTTTTTGTGGATGAGTGGATGCTACAAGATGACATAAACGCCCAGTAACTTATAATGCAGTGAAAAAGAACAAAACATGTTGTTGTTACCACTTGTTTGGCCATGTTTGTGTTTTGGGGTGCGTTGCTCGGCGTCTCCTCTCCGTTGCCTGGTTTTGCCTTTGCGCAACTAAAAAGTGACTCATTTCAGTAGACTTTACTCGCAAGCTGATGTTTACGGATGTTTACACTGACTGAGGACCTAGAAATGTTGGCCAAATAGTAGCTTTCCCTGTTTTTCTGCATCTGCACTGGTAGTGCTGGCTCTAACGAATAGTAAAACATACAGTAGGCTATTCAAGATACAGCATCCCTACGGGATTCCCTCATGAAACCCCTGGAAATATGAAACTTTTAAAAGTTTTATTTCCAATCGTGGAAAAGTCATGGCCAATCCATAAATTCTTAAAAGTCAGGGAAAATGCTTCTTAAAAGTCAGGGAATATTCATACTGTCAGAAATGTTGGCTATTTGGAATATATATATATATATATATATATTTTTGGTGACCTTTACTTTTGTGAAGATATTTTCTGTGACACTTATTTAGGTCAACTATTTTCATTGAACGAATGAACCGCTTCATAAATCAACTTGAAGTTGTAAATCAACTAAAATCAAAGTGAAAACAGGTAGCCTATTGTATGACTATTGGCGTCTGTAGAGCAACTAAACACATACAAAAAATAACTAAATGTAGGCCTAATTCTATTAACTATGTGGCTAATATCGACTTCACTTGTGAAAGTAAATCCAGTGTTACATTCTGGTTGGACCTCGGAGAGGGGGTGGGGCGTTAAGTACCACGTCACAGACAGTGGAAGAAGACGGGATCCCCCCTCCCTCCTCCTTTTTCTTCTCACGCAGCACCGACCGATTTTTAGCAATCCGCCCACTGACGCGCACGTCTCTAGCTTCGTATACGCGGCCAAAACCACCAGCAGCCCCATCACAACACAGCTACCCACTTCTGACAGGGATATATTACGCGAAAGCGGGATTGTCAGGAGAGGCGTGTTGTTCTGGCCTGGTTCGCGATCGCGTTGGATCGCCCCCGTTCAGGATCGGACCAGCTACAAGTCTCCTTTGGGAAAAAAAGAAACGAAAAACCAACACGGTGAGTTCGACTCAACGGAGCTGTTGATCTCTACTTCTCCAGGGCCTTTCTAAGAACACGTTTCTTGTATTTTGACGTCAACTAGTCCTCTATATGTAAATAATAACCGCCCACTGTGGACTAGGGGGATTTATTTTCCACTAGGGTCGAGTGATCCTTTGCTGTGTAATCTCTCTTTAATCGCTTGCCTAGTCATCTGGACCAGCTCTACCGATTCCGAAGGTAAAGAGGTGTTATGACACGACACAACGGCAGGCAATGCTAGCACTTGCCACGCAATATTAGTGGAAAGAATATTTGTTGGTGATTTCGTAGTGTAATCAAGCTAAACGCGCCAGACGCATTGGTTAACGAAAACCGCAAAAATAATCACAATGACTCAGTGTCATGCTGCCGAGTCTGGTGCGAAAAAGTGGGTGATACAATTGTTAAGAGGCTGAGTGGCCCACATGTTGCTCTCTGTGGTTGTTGTTTACGCCACTTAGCCCGATTTAACATGTCCAAATTAAAATATTTGCCAACTATGCCACCGAACGATTAAGGTATCGTTTACCCAAAAATAAAATTCAGTGTGAGAAGTATCCAGTGACTTTCAGTCTGTTATTTTCGCCTCGCTCAAGTCAAATTGTTTATGGAGTCCCTTCCTACTAGGGACTCCCCCTAGTATAATTTTACTAATGTGATGTCAACCGTCTTAAAGAACACTAACAGTTTTCGAGATGTATGGTTAAGTGTGAGGCTGTAATAACGCGATAAATAATGACAGCTCTTACTTCCTCAAGCAAAGGCGATTTCTGTTCGTACATTGGCGCATTCGGTCTGCTCTCAGAGCGGTCACTATGAAACGGATTTCCAGAAATTATTTTAATATGATTTCAAACTACATCTAAAATGTTGCTTGAAATGGATTTCGGATTTCATGTGAATTTTTTGTATTATTGTTAATATTATTATTTCCTTTCACACTTGCTAAATCAGATTTGGACTAGGTCTGAACAAGGCTTCTGTAGCCTAATTTTTGTTTACTAAACGTTGTTGGAAAATGCTTATATAAAAAAAGTTAATAGATGTATTTAAAACAATATTTCACTGTTTTTATGACCTCCTTTGGGTGGTTTCAAGCCATGCATCAGGCCTATTGCTACAACATTGTTCCAAACCTGTATGACTTTTGCATGACTGCATGACAAACCTTCTTCCTGTTTTTCGTGCAATAAAAAAGGGAGATGTTTTAGAAAACCTTTCACTTATTTTTCATCTTTTCCATGAAGTAAAATGAATAGTGACTGAGTCTGTTATTATGGCTAATATAACTTCTCTGTTTGTGCTCCATGGAACAAAGTCATATGGTTTTTTTAACAACACGAGGGTGAGTAAATTAAGTATTCATTTTGGGATAAAGTCTTCTGGTCTGTTGTAACGGTGGCAGGAAAAATATTATTTGTACCTGAATTCCAGTTTGTAATTCAGCACTCACTCTGAATCCATTCAGATACACATGAGTGATGCCTGATGGCTCTTGCATGTCTCTTGATATTTCTCACTGATTTATTAATATTTGTCCACTAGAGCTGTAAAACTTCTGCTGCGTCCTCACAGTTGATACTTAATGTACTGAAAGCAGTGAGGACTTTGACCTTGTTCTTTCTGCTTTACAGTATATGGAGAATATCTTGGAAGAGAGTATTGACCCGTCAAAATGCTGTAAAATCACATGACCTTAATAGGAGAGAAGAGTTAAAACAATTGCCTGATCTTTTTTAGGGCATGGAGGGAAAGCTGAATAAAATCTAGAGTCAGCTGTTTTCCGTGTTGTTGAGTTGGCCATAGTTCTGGAGTTTGAGACCCAAAGTTACAGATTGTTTCAGTCTAAAGAGACTCAGGAATGGCTTGAAACTGGGCCACATCATGGAAGCCATAGTGAGAAAAATGTGTTTCTAAATATTGGAAAGGAGAGCAGGAAAGAGGGAGATAGCAACATGCTCATATGCCCGTATTTCACACATAGGCCTATATGTATAAAGGAAGATATGAATCCCTGGTCTCTGGTGAGCAGAGGTGTAAAGTCCAGGGGTCAGAAAGTAAAAGTCCATCTATATGTTTATTCCACCCATGAACTCAACCAGTTGATTTCACTAATTAGTTCTATCTCCTGGCTGAAAAACTGTGCTAATTAGCAAATCCAGGTGATTGGAACAAAAGTCTGAGGAGGACTTTTACTTTCTGAACCTGGACTTTACACCTCTGCTGATAAGATGTTATTCCACGTATCCATGTAATCTTAAACAAGTTAGATGTGATTGATTCATCTGGTTTTGCAATGTATGTATGAGGATGTGGAGTCTTTGTGACATGTCTCTTCAGTTTCTTTCTTACTACACCCTTTCTCTTTCAGTATTTCCAGTGATTTCTTTTTCTTTCTATCTCTGTTTTTCGTTTTTTACTCACACATGTTCTCTTGTTCTTGTGTTACTTTCATACAATGTGTCCTACTTAAAGTGAAGTGTCATACAGTCTAATTATAGGAAGAGGTCTATATTTTTATCATCAATATCCCAAGGAGGTTAATAACAACATTCACGAGCAGTGCCGTCCCTTAAAATCATTGGGCCCGGGACAGTTTTTTTCTTTTAATGGGTGGGCTCAATGTGGAGACTGACACCTTATCATAGGAGACATTAGTAGGTAGGTCCCCTTTGTCACAGATCACAAGTAATTGGGGGGGTTGTCTTGTAGTAATCTGTTTGTTTCTCTTTTTCTGTCTGTTAAGAGTAGGCGTGATATAACCTATTCCCCGCTCAAGCACACACATAAAGCTTGCCATAAGTAATGATTATGAATGTGGCAGAAAAAATAGCAAGGTGAGATTTAAATTATTTATTAATCAACTAGTGTTTTCTGATTCAGTGTCGGGTGCACAGATGAGGTTGTTGATGCTGACTCGCCATCTCCGTAGTAGCCTATAGTGGATGCACCTATAGAGAGAAATGCATTTTTCATACGGATTACATAATCAGAGAGTATTTGTTGACGATTTGAATTGGTTCATTTAAAAGTAGACATTTGGATAGATATATTTCTCATGTCTGCAAAGCAAGTAGCCTATATGCTGAGTTTCGGTTCATTTTTGTGACGCGATCCAGTTCACAGAGCAATCAGACGGCAGAAAGCACATATTCTTTTTGTATTTTATAAAAGCACAATTATTAAAACACCTTTACAGTTTCAAATGATCTATTACCCCCATATGTATCATGAGTATTTTTAAGTTGTTTCGCTGTTTTCAGGGAAAAAATGCAAGTTATCGTGCCGTGCCGGTGCCTCCATGTCACACTGTAAGCACGCTATACTTTAGCTTACTCTCCGCACGAACACTTCGATATGCACTTAATAGCCCAAATTTATCTAGGTTAACTTAGAGCAAGAGGCCATGTTAAGTTTCTGATACTTACATGTTTCAAATGATAAGCCATATTTGAGGTCGATGGATGATAGGAGAATGTTTGGATTTCCTGCCTGACATACTACCACAAGGACCCACCGTTAACGTCCTCACGGACTGCGTGTCTGTACCAAACTGTATTGGGCAACGTAGCTCCTACAGGTATGAAAAACAGGTATGCTTCAGAATTCTGTCCTTTTTAGGGTCGCATCTGTTAACATCATGTCCTTTTTTTGGTTCTTTTAGATGTCTTCGGACTTCGGTCCATGTTGCCTTCATATTTCTGTCGAACCGCACCAAAGTTCGTTTGTAAGTGGAACAAGATCCACCTTTTCAGCGGTCTCGATGCGCACCAGGGTTTCGGATGGCAGCATTCACACTTAAAGGGTTAGCTCACCCAAAAATGAAAATTATGTCATTAATGACTCACCCTCATGTCGTCCCAAGCCCGTAAGACCTCCGTTCATCTTCGGAACACAGTTTAAGATATTTTAGATTTAGTCCGAGAGTTTTCGGTCCCTCCATTGAAAATGTATGTACGATATACTGTCCTTGTCCAGAAAGGAAATACAGACATCATCAAAGTAGTCCATGTGACATCAGTGGGTTAGTTAGAATGTGTTGAAGCATCGAAAATACATTTTGGTCCAAAAATACCAAAAACGACGACTTTATTCAGCATTGTATTCTCTTCCGGTTCTGTTGTCAATCCGCGTTCAGTGACACTGATGACATAAGACGCTGCTGACGTGTATCTGGTGCGCCCGTGTATTCGGGTTCAAATAAATATGGCTGGGCAAAAAAAATGCAAGTCTTCCTCTGTGTCGAAATCCTTAGACATGTTTGCGAAGATTGTTTTTTTTTACAGCGTGCGTCTCCCTCAGACTGTAAACGAAGCTCGGGCGCACTGATAACACGTCAGCAGCGTCTTACATCAGCAGCGTAAGTCGCTATACAGTCGTAAATAAAGTCGTAGTTTTTGTTATTTTTGGACCAAAATGTATTTTCGATGCTTCAAAACATTCTAACTAACCCACTGATGTCTCATGGACTACTTTGATGATGTCTTTATTTCCTTTCTGGACAAGGGCAGTATACCGTACATTCATTTTCAAAGGAGGGACAGAAAGCTCTCGGACTAAATCTAAAATATCTTAAACTGTGTTCCGAAGAAGAACGGAGGTTTTACGGGCTTGGAACGACATGAGGGTGAGTCATTAATGACATAATTTTCATTTTTGGGTAAACTAACCCTTTAATCAAATGAACAACACCAAGAGTTCTCTTACGAGAGTATCTCTCGTACTGCGTAATAGCTTACGCTAGGGGAAAAACTCTTTTCCACGAGATATTGAAGCCAAAAATTATCCTTAATTTTTTATTAATGTAAAACGCTTTGCAGCAGCAAGTAGGGATGGGAATTGATAAGATTTTATCAATATCAATGCCACTAACGATTCTGCTTATCGATCCAATTCTTTAACGATTCTCTTATCGATTCCTGATAGCACTGTGAGGGAAAAAGTAGTCTTTTTCGGGGGAAAAAACAAGTTGTTTT